GGCTGAGACCCTTGGGATGAGCTCAAGCATATGGGCCCAGGACTTAAAGGCATGGTTCCCAAGACATCCTCTGCTGGCGTCATCGGCTGTCTCTAGGTAGAAAGGAAACTGTTAATGTGCCTAAGTAATCCTTTCCTCCTTGGGCTCGCCAAATCTAGCATCACAGGATTCTCAGGGGTCTGCTACTATTCTAATTGGATCTAAAAATAGGACTGAAGAAAAACCCAAGGGGAACAATCCTAATTCATGTTCATTAACACACTGCATGAAAGACTGCCCGGCAAGCCGGGCCTGGAAATATCCAACCGGCGAGAAAGGCTACGGCAAAATACCACTGTTGCCTTCACCAAGATTTGGCCCACAGTTCCCCAGATGGGGACCCGTCAAGGTCAAGCAGCAGAACGAGGCGGGGGCGGCAGGTGCACCTGCGTCGCCTGCCCCCATCAGCCCCGTGCTCTCCGTGTCACATGCAGCCCGGCCCACCTCCTGAGCCGGCCACACGGAGCACACGCCGCCCCTCTTCGGCTGCATGCCCTCTCAGAGGAGGGGCTCCCGGCCCAGCCCCGTCCCCAGGCCCCCTTCCTTCCGTCAGGCAGGTCCATCAGGACTTTGCAGGAGGAAAACACAGGCGGGTTTATCCTGTAGCAGCAGCCGCAGGGGCCCCGTCTCCCCGACGAAGGAGCCCATTTTCTGTATTTCATCTGCGAGTCCATTATGCCGCACTAAGTGGTGGGAAATCAGCACCCATCACTACCCCAAGCTCGGCAGGGTTTGCTGGCTGGAAGACGACAGAAATCCCTATCATATGCTCTACCGGGCCGACGCGCTGTTACTACTGCGTTGTGCACAAAGGCTCCGCGCTCGCACCGCGCTGGGAAACTGGCCCTGGCAGCAGCTCTTCCAAGAAAGGCGAGCTCCACGGCCAAGGGCCCAGAAGGGCAGGAGACCAGCCACTTGCTCCCTTCTGAAGGAGTCACGGGCTCTGGCTAATGGGACACGATCCCCAGACTGAGCAGCTCCAGCTCTGGCGACCTCTGTGGAAGTCCTTGCCCGTGAGCTGGTGCACGTACCTGCCCTGGGGAGCATGAGGGAAACCAGGCCCTCCAGACGGCTGCAACACCGCCACAGAGGGGCAGGGCAGGGTGGGTCTGCCACTCCGTCCCAGGGCCCACACCAGAGCGCCTGGCACTTCGTAAGCACTCGATGGCGGGGTGCTGACTGACTGAGAAATGAAGGAAAAAGGGAGTTGGAGGGAACCCATACAGGCGGGTACTGGCCGCTTCGTGAAAGCGAGGGCCTGTGAGGAAGGTACCGAGGCAGAGCCCCCAGGTCAGCTGGGGAGGACGAGGGGCAGATCGAGGGAGGCGGCGTGCAGAGGCAACCGCCAGGAGGGGCTGAGGCTGAACGCACGCCTGTGGTCTGGAGCACAGAGACTCATGGGGAAGACAATGGCGTGGGAGGCCCGGAAGGCCAGGGCCAGCTTGGAAATGAGTCGTGGGGAAAGAGGAGGCCTCAGGGACCCCAAAAGAGCTGCCTGAAAGGATGAGGGCCAATGGGGGCTTGGGTCGGCACCATGAGGAGCAGGGGGATGAGCTGTGAGGGCACAAGCAGACTGGTCAGTTAATCAAGGGGCCAGTTTTGTGGTGAACAGGGCAAAGGGCCTCTTACCCAAGACAAGCTGGAAATGAGGGGCACTCACTGTTAGTCTGTGTGAATGTCCAGTAAGAATGAGGCAGCCAGCAGTTGCTGGTACAGTTTACAGCAGAAGAGAAGGTTTACACAAACACACATGTGAATGTACACGTGTGTGTGCACCACACCCTCCAAAAAGCATGGTAAGGCGACAGGCGTGCCCTGACAAGGGCCAGGAGACCCCGGACAGGAGCTGATCGGCGGAGACCAGCCGCACGTGAAATCTGAAGAGCCTGACGCAGTCCGGCCCCTTAGGAAGACGGTTTGGAGGTTTCTTACAATGCCAAACAAACTCATACCATGAACTCGTGATTGTGCACCTATTCATGCACATGAGTTGAAAATGTGCCCATGCAAAACCTGCATGTAAATGTTTGTAGCGGCTTTATTCATAGTTGCCCATCATAGGAAGCAATGAGGGTGGCTGGTATGGGTCGAGTTGTGCCCCCACACAAAAGACTGTGTTGCTATGCTAACACCCAGTACCTCAGAGCATGACCCGATCTGGAAATAGGGACACTGCAGATACAAGCAGTTTCATCAAGCTGAGGTCCTATGGGTGTAGGGTGGGTCCCCATCCAAGCTGGGTGAGATTTTTAAAAACTGAAAAATGCCAGCCCCATGCTTGGTCCAGAGGAGACCGTCAGTGCAAACGGAGTGCCTTCCCCACTGCTGGTGACACCTCTAGAGGTGCAGGCTGGGGGGTGAAGACAGGCACCGCCTCACACACAAGTAGCTGGTATCGCCTCGGAGGGTTTGACCATCTAAAGCCGTCTCACGGATTCCCTCCCACAAGGTATTGCTTGTTCCCCTGTCCCTTCAAGTCTTGTCCCTGAGCCTGCTTCCCCTCGTCTCCACGACCCGGCCTTCACACAGCAGCCCTGTCAGACTCTTGGAAAGGACGCTTTGAACCACATACCGGAAGACCTGCAGGGCAGAGGCTTTTCTTCCCCGCAATTTTTTCAGGCAAAAACTCCTTGCCTGGGGCTGGGTGCGGGTGCTGCCGTGAAAGACACTCGGCTCCCGCAGCTCTCCCCGGGGCTGCCCCTGACCCACGGCCCAGAGGGAGCCTGCAGACTCCTTCCCCACATGCCAGCTTCACTCCGCCTGGCAGCTGTGCCGACAGCCGGGTCCCAGGGGCCCACACGAGCACAGACAGGGCCCAGGGCCCGTGGCGTTCACCGAAGGACATGCAGCCCCCTCACTTCTCCCAGAGGAGCCTGCATGTGCGAATTCGTCTGCTCGCCAAAAGTTACATGTAACCCCTAAACCAGTACGGGTGGCACCTTACGGCCGTTCACAAACAGGCCAGGGGTGGTAGAAAACCTGAGTAGCCTGGCATGCGTGTTCCCAGCTGAGACTGGGCAAGCCTTCTTATGTTGGCTTTCACACAGAAAACAAGTGTCCTTCCTGTGGTCCACTTAATGCCACTTTTTTTTTTTTTGTATTTGTGTTTTTTGTGAGTGATTTTGCAGCATGGCCTAACCCCAAGCATAGTGCTGAAGTGCTGGCTAATGTCCCTAGGAGCAAGGAGCTGCCATGCCTTGAGGAGAAAATGGGCGTGTTCGGCAAGACATGTGTGTTACCTGAGCTTCGTTCGTGCACCAGTCGGTGCTGTTGACCCTGAGTGCAACATTACTGAATCCACAATACCTGTTACACACGACGTCTTTAAACAGAGGCATGCTTAAAACAGGCCATCTATTTACTGACCAGCTGATCAAAACGTTGTGACCAGAGGCTGGCAGGAACCTGACCCTGTACTTCCTCAGGAGCAATGGCTCTGTGTCCCCTAATTCAGTGTTCACGGTGACTTTACAGAACATAACTATTGCGAATAATGAGAATCAATGGTAAACTCAACACAGCAATGCATAAGCCTCTGGTCAGATAATGAACATCACTCTAGAAAACTGAGCTACATCCATGGAGGCCAGGCTTGACCTTTGCTACAGTAACAGACCGCTCTCCTCCGGGCCCTGCCCAGTCGGTCCAGGGCGAGCCTGATCCGAGGCCAGAGCTTCAGCCAGCGCAGAACCATTCTCTGCGCTGTGTCCCCACCCTGTACCTAAAACCCGGGGTCCTCCTCCTATTCAACGCCGGCAGAGGGATCCGACAGACCCTGACCCAGACTCTGGAGGTCACTGCTGGGAACCAATTGACGACCTTACTCAGACTCAAGCCCAGCCCCTCCCCTGCTCTCGGTAATCCTCTCACTCAAGTCAGAGCCAGGAAAGCGGAAGCAGAGGTCGATGGGGACAAGGGCCCGCTCTGCTGTAAGATGGACCGTGGGCACAGCGACAGGTCTGCGAGTGGCAAAGAGTGCGGCCTAAGCACAGAGAACTCAGCTGGTGAGAGCAAGACCGGAGATCCTCCTACCTAGGCCGGCCCCTGGACCAGCAAGAGATGGAGAAAGCCCACTGGCAGAAGCCTGGGGCAGAGAAGGAACACACAGCCCGCCTAGAACCTCAGTTTTCCTGTCCTATAATAAGGCCTTAACCTAGGCCATCTCTCTGTCCCTTCCGGCTCTAAGGCCTCTGTGCCCCCTTCCGAAGCAGCCAACATTTGGGGTGGGGGCAGGGCAGGGCAGGAGAGTGGGAGGGCAGGGGCGTGCACTGCGGTTGTTGGGCCTCGACTGAGCCTGGGGACACAGCAAGGGGAACACTGCTGGCGGGAGGGCCAAGCCCCAGAGTCCCTGAGAGCCGAGAGGGCTCAGCAGAACTCAGCAGGAATACAGAGAGGGACTGGAGCCAACAGAAGCGGGGAGAGGAGGGTGCATCTGCTCACGGAGCCCTGTGACCTGAGTGAGACGCCTGCGGGGGAGGGCGGGCCCTGGCGCTGCGGTCGCCAGCGAAATCTCAGCAAGGGCGCCCTCCGGGACACTGGAGGGGCAGCTACAGAGACGCTTCCACCCAAACGGGGCTGGCCGCCCGTCATTCCCTTCCCCTCTCATGGAGGCTTGGGGGCAGGGTCTGGAAACCTTGGGGGCTGCTGACTGGACAGAGTTGGGCTGTACTTCCTAAACACACAGGCCAGGTCTACAGAGGGACCAGCCGGGTGTGCGCCCTGCCTTGGCGGGGGCGCCTCTGCGAGGGGTGGGCTCCCACCTCCAGGCCGCCCCCGGGACACTGCCCCAGCGGGCCTCCTGCCCAGGCTACTCTTCCAGCTTGGAGACAAAGAGGGAGGGACTCTTAGAGAGCAGGAGGAGAGCAGGTGGTAGGTCACCCCAGAAGGTTCCAGAACCCCAGCTACAGGGCCTATCGCCACCCCCCCCCCCAGAAGGGACAACATTCTACTCTAGTACTCACATGTGTCCGGGTTGTGGCAGTTGTGGCCCTGGCGGAAGTACTGGGGGTTCTCGATGACCGGGATGCGGGTCATGCCGATGACCACGGTGTCGGGCCCGGCATCCAGCGACGACGGCGTGGTGATGCCATGGTTGATGTGGTGCAGCGGGCTGGCTGAGTCCTCCTCGCCGCTGATGACAGCCACAGGGCCTACACACAGCAAGAGAGACACAGGAGCCTGGTGACGCCACGTCCGCCAGCACCCGCTCTTTCCCCACCAGCTTTCCCACGGGAGCAAGATCCATAGGGAGCACATCCCCGAATGCCTGGGTTCGGAATTCCGAGACCCAAACTTGACTCTTTTGGGAGAAAAAAAAATATACCACATCACACCATAAAAACAAAAGAGGGAACCAAAAGGACTACGAGATAAATTATTTTCACATTCCCCAAATCCAAATTAGTTCAAAATACGAAAAGTTTTAAGTAAGTTTCTCTGCTTCTATAGAACTTAAAATTTTAAACAACAACAACAACAAAAAGACCTGGCCGGACTTTGCACACTGTCCCTTTTCCCGTCAGGACTTTAAGAACTGCCGATGCTGGGCCCCTCCCCAAAAGTTCTGATCCACTGGTGTTGGGGTGCAGCCTGGACATCTGGATTTAAGGGCTCCCCTCTGGGGCCCCTGACTAGGGCCTTGGGGGCTGCGAGCCTTTGCGGACTGGCCATCAGACGCGCACAGGAGTGGGACGTAACTTCCATGGGGCTCCGCCCTCACCTGCCCCAGCGCACTGGAAGATACACCCACCGGGGCTTGGGCCCGGGCCGGGCCAGCCCCCATAAGGGACCGTGATGGGGCTGCATCACAACGGGCCCGAGGCATCGGGGCCAGCTGTCCCAGTCATGAAAGATCGAGACCGCCCGATGGCCTCCAAGAACGTCATGTGTATCTTCACCAACCTGACGCCACCGTTTTCTAACCCAAAGAAGAAACCCAGTAAATGAGGTTATTTACAAACACAGTTGACAAAGACATTTAATGGTGGGATCTAGGCTGAGCGATGATTCTGTTCGGTGGTGCGGCTCTCCCATACATACAAATCAAAGTCCTATAAAGTAAATAGCTGTGACTGTGGCTTCATACAACTGGCGTTTTAAATGGCTGCTTTGTAAGGCACATGGTCCCAAGACAAAGTGCCTGGTGTGATCTGGTTTTGTGGCTTGAACTCTATTTCCACTACCGAAACCCATTACATCGTCCTGAATTTTATGAGGAGAATACGTCCCATCAAATAGCAAGGTGGAGCATCAATGAGGCAGAACTAAACGGAAGGCTGGCGCATGCACACAGAGGCCCCAGAATTCCATTCTGTCAGCACGGACAGGCTTATTCCAATCCCTGACAAACGTCTCACTGTGGAAAGGCGGCGGTAAGTAGCAGCCTGAATACTCGCAGTAATCACTTGCCTTGCAAAAAGAGGCCTGCTCCTGAAAACGCCTTGCAGACTTTTTGGAAAACTTCACAGGGGTTTCCCGTTGAACACAGAAAGCTGAGCCTTGGTCTCTATCCTCCTTCTCTCCCTAAATGCCATTGAAGTATGAAGGGACACTTGTGCACGAGGAGAAGGAAGGTAGGGAGACAAGAGGAAATCCGGTATTTCAACATTTGGAAGGTGAGAACCCGAAGGGGAAAGCTCGCTCACGCGAAGGGGAGCAACTGGAGAAGGGCCGGTGGGACTGCTGCTGAGGCCCGGGGCTCGCACCAGGCACCCAGGCCGCTGCCGCGCCCCTGTCCCACCAGGGCTAGTGGTCTCTTCCCAGAGAAACTGAACTGGGAAGGCTCAGAGACTGGCTGGGGTGAAGTGAGAAGCTGGACCCCTTCTCCCTGCTCCTAGAACAACAGAAACCAGGAATAACACCGCCTACCCGTCCGTCCACGCCCAGTCTCATCGGCCGCCACCCCCTGAGGGAGGGTAGAGAAGACTGCTCTGCAGAAGCTGAATGCCTCAAAAGGGACAAGACAGCTGGACACTGACCCCGGGCGGCTCCCGGGGAAGCCAGGCGCACGCTGAGAGGGGCCTCCGTGAAGCCGAGTGGCTGACGAGCCCCTTCCGAGTGCCCAGAGCAAGGTCTCATTCACTTTCTAGTGCTCATTTCCTAAATAGGAAGAAATAGGCCAGGACCACCAGATGCTCCAGCGAAGCATCAGCGTGAGGGGGAACAGGGGCTCGGAGGCACCGGGGCAATGTGGGGAGCAGCAGACTGTCCAAAAAGTCAGTGATGTCCTCAGGGAGGTAGATGCAGGCACTGCCCCCAGAGAACAAGGTGACACCTGGAACATGACTACTTAGAGGGCAAGAAAAAGTCCTTGGGAAACATGATCATCAAACTTTTGAAAGTCAAAGCAGAGCAGAAGATAAAGTCAAGGGTGTGTTCCAAAAAGTCCAGCAAAAAGGAAAGAGATGGTAAATAGGAAAGAACAGATAAGAAAATCAAAGACTCCATCCAAAAAACCCAACATCCGATTAAAAGAAGAGAGACAGAGGGAGGCAGAGAGAGAGAAGAGAAAAGATGGAAAAAAAGAAAAAAAACTTAAAAAAAAGGTCAGGAACGGGGACAGGAGTGAGTCACATCACTGGGCTCCCCCAGGTGCCCTGCTGATAGCACGTCGCCTCGGCCTCTGACCAGCGCTGACCACTCACCTTGACTAAACACATGGCAGAAAGACCACGGCCACTCCGCCGGGGCCCACACGCTCACCTCTGCTCTTCCATAAACCACAGGCCTTAGCAGGAAAGCCACCAAAGCGCACACAGCCCCTTCGCTTCAAGGGTGGGGGAGAAGACCCCACAGCAGCTCCCGCGTGCCGGGGGCAGGGTCCAGCCAAGCTCCCCACGGGGCTGCGCTGGGTATGGCGGGATAGTTAACACCCCCAGACCGAGCATTAAAATCCCCTCTCCGGTTCATCAGCTGTGATAAATGTACCCTCTGGTGGGGAAGTTGGTAATGGAGGAGGCTGTCTATATGTGGGGACATGGGGTATATGGGAACTCTCTGTACTTCCCACTTGATTTTGCTGGGGCTCTAGAACTGCTTTAAAAAAAATAAAGTCTAATAAAAAAAAATTTAAGGGACAAAAAGCCAGTCTCCCCACCTAACAGGCAATACACTTCTAACTAACCTGGGGGACAGGGTTGCCCCACGGTGAGAGCCAGGGACAGGGACCAGCACCCACGCTGGGCCCCAGCTTCCAGCTCAGGCCAGGTCTCCCGACAACCACCTCGGGGAAGGAAACCCAGAGATCTGATGCCCCTCAGGGAGAGGAAGCATTTCTCTCTGACTTTAATAACCACAGAGAAGAATGCATTAAGATAAGAAGGGGCAGCAATAAAGGGAAGACTCTCAGCTCTCTGCGGAGTTCCTCCGTTTTCCTGGGGCTGCCAAGGCCTGAGGCAGGTCGGGGGAAGGAGGCAGGCGGGCAGCCTCCTGAGCCTCGACACACACACAGGCCGCCCAGTGCCCGGGGTACTCCGCTGTCGCTAATCCATTCCTAATTACACACTTGCTTTGTTAGGTAGCACTAATAAACAAAAAGAAAGAGAAACAGGCTTACAGCCTTTCTGGTGAGGTCAGGCTTCTGAGCGTGTGCCCCGGGGGAACGCAGGTCTGTTCAGACTAGTCGCAGGGTTCTCTGCCCAAGTTGGTGCCTTCTATTCCCTCTTTCAGACCTCGGGTTTTGTTCTTCCAACCAGACCACAACAAAACTCTTAAATAACCAGAGGAAGCTTGACGCCCGGACAGACGCCTTGCCTAGCAGGATGGTCCAAGCTCTCTTTCTGGAATCTTTCCCTCCCCTCCCCGCTCCTTCTATGGGAAAATATAAGGGGGCAGTGCTGGGAATTGCTCAGATTTTCTTAAGTGGTTGATTCCAATATGCGACTCAGCTTCCCCCAGAAAGCCAAGGTCTCCAGTGAGGGCACAAGAAGGAATTTCACACAGTAGTAAGCAGTGCGCCCCCTGCAGAGGCGCTGGGGGGCCACAAGCTGCCATGAGGATGGCAGGGACATGGCAGAAGCCTCTGCCATGGGGACACGGGGTCCCCTGCAAAAGATGAGTGAAGGGGTGCATCACACAAAATAAAGTCAGGAAGAGCAGCGGCCTCCCCGGGGTGCGTGAGCACATCAACACTCCCTGCCCCTTCAGATCAGGGCAGGTGGGGGCCTCCTTGGGGCCGTTCCCCAGTGTCCTACCTCCTCACTAAGTCCCCTTGGGTTCCACCAGCTCCTTGACTTATAGGACATTAATACGTCTCAGAAGCTCAGCCCCCAGAAAGCCCAGGCGCTGGTCAGCACCGCACCGTTCGCCCAGCCAGTGGGCAGAAGCGGTTCCTCTCCAGTTCCCCCACAAGACTCACATTCCCAAGGATGTGGTTGTAACAAAAAAAGGCGGGAAAGGATAAACTAACCTTTATTAACCACCTACTGTATGCCAGATAAGTTGCTAGGTAGTTTGATCTCCTCTCATCTGATCCTCAAAAAATACTGTTATTCCCAGTCCATCAACTAGAAAACTGATCTTCACGTAAGTTTAGTTTTCCAAAAATCAGGTAGCCAGGAAATGGTGAAGCCTGTATTTGATCCTATGTTCATGTGAAAGTTGTTCTTCTTCCCACCAAATGAACTACTTTCCCAACAGTATGGCTGTCACCCATTATTTTTTATAAGAAGCTAGAATTTGGTGTAAAGACATGAGCCCGTAAAATAGGCCTACACCTCTGAACCAAGGCATCTAAGAATAGATCATCAGTATTTTGTAGGCTGGACCAAACCATGTAAGGTAGCACTGGACAGTTAAGGCCAACATTTATGGCTAAATTGTAAAATCTTGGGGCCAAAACCCATCCATTTCTATACTCCTTCATTTATCCCTGAGCTTCCTTCCAAAGGCAGGGGTTCCAGCTCACCCAGCAGTTCAGGAAACACTTGGGCGCAGCAGCCGTCCCGGCCACTGTTCGCCAGGCACCTCCGGGCACCGGCAGGGGCTGCAGTGTTCTGCCCCCTTGACATCGGGCACCGAGGGCCCCGTCGCTGCCTCCGGCTAATGAGAAGCGGGCGGAAGCCATGTGCCCCACGGCCAAGTGGGCGCCGTGAGACCCAGCGTGCCAACGTCACCTCACACGGGTTGGAGCGGCTAGCATCAAAAAATGCAG